GCAACGTACGAGTTATTGGTTAATAAATAGAAATATGCCGTACTTACAACACAAGAATTATTACTTAATAAATATAAATACGCCATACCTGCAACGTACGAGTTATTAGTTAATAGAAATATGCCGTACTTACAACACACGAATTATTACTTAATAAATATAAATACGCCATACCTGCAACGTACGAGTTATTAGTTAATAAATAGAAATGTGCCGTACTTACAACACACGAATTATTACTTAATAAATATAAATACGCCATACCTGCAACGTACGAGTTATTAGTTAATAAATAGAAATACGCCATACCTGCGACGTACGAGTTATTAGTTAATAAATAGAAATATGCCGTACTTGCAACGTACGAGTTATTGGTTAATAAATAGAATTATGCCGTACTTACAACACACGAATTATTACTTAATAAATATAAATACGCCATACCTGCAACGTACGATATATTAGTTAATAAATAGAAATATGCCGTACTTGCAACGTACGAGTTATTAGTTAATAAATAGAAATACGCCGTAATTGCAACACACGAGTTATTACTTAATAAATACAAATACGCCATACTTGCAACGTACTAGTTATTAGTTAACAGATACACATTCGCCGTACTTGCAACGTACTAGTATTAGTTAGTAAATACAAATACGCCATACTTGCAAATACGAGTTATTAGTTAATAAATGCAAATACGCCGTACTTGCAACGTACTAGTTATTAGTTAATAAATACACATACGCCGTACTTGCAAATACGAGTTATTAGTTAATAATTGCAAATACGCCGTACTTGCAACGTACTAGTTATTAGTTAATAAATACGCATACGCCTTACTTGCAACACACGAGTTATTACATAATAAATATAAAAACGCCATACCTGCAACGTACGAGTTATTAGTTAATAAATATAAATACGCATGTAGTACTTGCAACGTACTAGTTATTAGTTAATAAATAAATACAAATACGCCATACCTGCAAATACGAGTTATTAG